AAGAATTGACCAACAGTCAAATAGCTATAGGATCAATAAGAATTGTTTTGTTCGGAGATCATACAACACAAATAACAATGAACTTTGATAAACACAATAGAAATCTAGATTTACAATTAAAACAATTCTTTTTGTTTATTTTATAATTCATCTATTTTGTGCTAAGTGTTGCTTTTTTATCAATGGAAACTCGATAAGCATAACTGTTCAACCTTCATTATTTATCAGAACTTGCTGTTCAGATATTATGAAAAACTCATTTTTTTACCAACATTATTCAACTGTACGAAACAGTTTATTATTTTTATAATCATTAGGCATAAAACTTATGAGGATTTATTTATTACAATGTTTAAAATATTGATCTTATATTAATAATTTTCAATGTGTAAAGAAAAACAGATGATTGAGTTGGTATCATTTATTCTTAATTCTGTACATAAGAATAATACCGACAACAAATTATTTCATGCTGTTGAATATTAATGACTAAAGCCATCACAAACAATATTTTTTCATATTATCTAAGGATAAGTTCTAATAAATAATTAAGGTTGAACTATCATATTTACTATGCTTCCATTAAAAAACAATATCTGATATAAATAGATGAATTATAAAATAAACAAAAAGAATTGTTTTAATTGTAAATCTAGATTTCTATTGTGTTTATCAAAGTTCATTGTTATTTGTGTTGTATGATCTCCGAACAAAACAATTCTTATTGATCCTATAGCTATTTGACTGTTGGTCAATTCTTGATAAATCGAATAAAAAAAAATATTTTTTTCAAATGAGTTTGTTTTAGAAAAAACGTTCCTTAACCTTTTCCATTTTCCTAGAAAGCGTGCTTCTACCCAAGTGACAACAGATGATGAAAAAGAAGAACAACAAATTGATTATGTTAATATTGATGATGAAAATCAAATAGGTGATGATGATTTTGAAAGTGATGATTCAAATTCTGATGATACTTCAGATGGTGAATCGGCTACTGATCATGCTTATGAATATTCGGATAATGAAGATTCATCTTCACAAGGTAGTGATGAAGATGAAGAATCTCTTGGTCAACATCCACTCCATGATAACTTTGTGGAAAATGAAACTGAACACACATTAATGCCTTATTCAAAACAATTTATATATATTTTACTACAACGAGCACGTAAACTCATTAAAACAATACATCGTTCTAGAAATCTTGATAAATACGTGCGAGATCAAATTGATTTAAAACAACAAGAGGCGAATAAACGGTCGACAGAAGATAATACTGAACCTATAGTTTATAATGAATTAGTTATTGATTTTCGAATACGATGGAGTTCCACCTTCAAAATGTTAAATCGATTTAATAAATTAAGTTCAGTAGTAAATGATGTTACATTTACACCAAGAAATATTGATGGTGTGGAATCCCAACAAGTTTTAAAATTATCGAAATTAGCTTTTAGTCATGACGACTGGAATTGGTTATCAGCATTGGAATTTGTGCTTCAACGTTTTGAAGAATCAACAAGATTATTATCTGGTAAAACATATCAAACACTTTCACTTGGTAAAATGATATTAAATGGTTTAAAACATTTCTTATCACATCAAAAACCTGATGAACCAATGATAAATCATTTAAAAACATTACTGTTAAAAGCATTTGAAGAATATTGTGAAAACAATCTTAGTGTTGAAGCTGAAGAAGCAATCATAGTAAGTATATTACGTTCACCTTAACAGCATTTTAGTTTGATAAACATAATCCATATTATGTAACCAAATGTCAATTATAACATTCTTTTTTGTCTGACACCTATCCAACATCTCACGAAATCATTCTCAATAGCTAGATAATTGCTATTTTTACATATTCAAATCAATATCACAGCTAGGAATTTTTGCAAAATATAAACTGTGGTAATACTTTACCAGGACTTGAACTGAAATCCGAAATTGAGATATCCTCAACATTCTTCCTTTTCAAGTAAAGTTTTTCATGTATCATAAACGGGTTTAATATTACCATAGATATATTTTAAGACAGAAAAACAAAAATATATTATAAATATAGATGTGTTGGACCGATCCCGATTCATTGACTAGAATTAGAGCCAGAGCCATTAGAAAAAAATTCGCTTGAACCATAACTCAAATTCATAGTAAGATAGTCTACGAATTTAAGGAAGCTTTATTATCAGTTTTATGAAGGAGAATATATTTTAAGGGTGACGAACCGAAAAAGTCCTTGTCATCGGTTCATTGTATAAAAAAATTGAAAAATCCTTTCAAATGATATACGATTAAGCTCTCGAACAATCTTCTCTAGACCAAGACCGGTTGGGGACTAAAACATTAGTGTCACACATGCCTACGAGCTGCCTGTTTTAACTGAACCATTTATTAGTGGATAAGTATACATTAAAACATCATAGCGACAACATCCTTGTGTTTCATAAAAAGGATATTTATTTAATAATTATCTTTTGATATTTTTTCTTATTATTCCCTTAGATTGCTTCTTTTCTCAATCCCACAACATACTTTTATTTGCATGAAGACGAAAAATTTATTAAAAAAGCAAAACAATTGATTGTGTTGAAATCGAAAAGTGAAAAATTTGCATCAACGCATTTGTCTTCATCAAATTCAATAACTTCAGCACGTTCTATTCCAAAAATGGTGAAAAAACCATTACTGGCAATTGAAACATTTTTATCTAATTGTGAAGCACTATTACCAACATCATCATCAACATCTTCAACAAAAATATTTACGATTCATCAAGAAATTGGCTATTACATATCTTCAATCGAAAAAGAAACAGATTTTCAAGAATATTGGAATAAAAATCAAAATTATTTGCCTATATTAAGTCGTATGGTGCGACACTATTGCATCATAACAATAACATCAGTTGCAAGTGAAAGTGCGTTTTCAATAGCTGGATACATACAACGAAAACACCGTTCCTCATTATCTGCAAGAACTTTACGATATTCAATGATATTACAAAATTTAGAACCACATTACATTGATTCCAATTGATTAGAACTATATGTTTTTATTCATTTCATCATATGGATGTAATCAGTCGTGCTGGTACCCCAAGATACAGAATATAAAATGGTACTATTCCAGCAAGGAGTATATAATGAATTTTATACCAAATGAAAATTCGTCAAAAATAGAATTTATTAGTACTGATTAGAAAGGAATTTGTAAACTTGGAAGTGTCGAAATTAAGAAATTTTATATATTAGAAAATACTAAAAAACTCACTTCTTCTCTATGAAAGAAAAAACGCTAGATTTCCCCATAATATTGGCATTTTTTTCATTATTTCTACTACCTAACATGTTTTGAGATACACTTATTCGATTCCATTTTTCACGCTGCATCTATCGAATATATTGCGAAAGATGGGACGTAGTGAAAATAACCAAAAAAAGATAGTTTTATGGGAAAACCTAGTGGTTTTTCTTTCATAGAGAACAAGTGAGTTTTTTAATATTTTCTGACATGTAAAATTTCTTAAGTTCGACATTTCAAACTTTACAAAATCCTTCCTAATCAATACCAATAAATGCCATTTTTGAAGAATTTTCATGTGGTATAAAATTCATTATATACTTCTTGCTGGAATAGTACCATTTTGTATTCTGTATCTTGGGGTGCCAACACGACTCTTTGAAAAGACTCATCGAAATAAGTGATGAGATCCTTTCGCAAATTAAGAATTATTAATTAAATGAAAAGAGAGTATAGCAAATATTTTACACTTAAACATAATATTAACATTATGATGTTGCTTATGTAAATTATCATACAGAAATTTGATAATTTATTTCAATTTATATTCGATAAATTACGAAAAGAAAAAAAATTTATATTTATTGTAAAGTAAATGGTAAATGACACTCCATGCCATGGAGCAAGCATCGATACATTTTACTGTATTTGAGTGGTGTGGAAGTTCTATATGCTAATACTAAATTTTACTGATCCTTGATTTCTAAATTCAACGTAGATTTTCTGATTACTTCCTCGATTTTTTATTATTTTTATGAGTTTTAAGAAGACGTCCATACTATATAATTTCGTAACTATATTTTTATACTAAACGAGATCATGTCATTCTTTTACTTAATTCAGAAGAATCTCGATGTTGAATAAATTGCTAAGAGCGAGACTAATCTAGTTTGATTAAATCATAGTGTACTAGACTTCATCTTGTTAGCAGTGATCATTTTCGATAACTTCTAATCATCAACGAAAATTTCATTTTGTAATCACTCATCGAAACATTTACTTCAGCATCGTATACAAGCCTGATGATTGTTTTTCAAGTTTGAAGTATTGATGATTCTTTTAACTTTGAAGGTAGTTGATAATTCCACTGTCTTATTACACAGATTCAATGAGTACTCAATATGGTATTACAAAATGATAATAGAACATAACTAGGTAAAATTAAGTCGTATATAATGTACGAAAATTAAATTAATCGAAGAATAGTAGATAGTTGTGCATGAAGAATTAATAAATAATGGAATATATAAATGTCGAAATCAGTAGAAAAATTAACTGCAGTGTTGAATTTCTACATATATGAGTTAGGAGAGAAATATTATAATGAGACATAAAATCTCATACAGATTATTATTTCGCGCAGCATGTCTCTGTTCAAATGTTGATAATTTCAACTTAGAACGAATTCATATTAATATTTCTATTTTAATAAATGACTATTTACCAATTTTTTATTTTTAAGCCTTTTCACCGTTTCTTCCAAATGAGAAAATCTAAGTAGGTGTTTAAAAAGTTTAATAATGATATTTATCAACGATTACATCAGAGTCTACTTCTTCAATCAACAAGACGTGATAAAAGTTCAGTGATATTGAACATAATTTTATGAATTATTGAATAAACTTTATAAATATTCAGGATCATCAGTCAACCATATCAACATTTGCTTTCACCGCGTAAAAGGTTGCGTTGATCGGTAACAGACTTGCTGTAATATAAATAATGAAAAACAAATGTATTGTTGAACATGACCTTTAGAATTCGAAACTGTTCTTATTTTCGTGAACTTCAACAAGAACTTAATATGTCTTGAATTCCTTGAATTTCGAATTTTTAGATCGTTAGAGTATCTCTCTCACGTGAGTGAAATTTTTGGATGTAGTCTGATTTATCTTCTTTGGAGCTCTGTGAGCAAACTCGCCAATCAACTCAGCCTTCATACGTTCTAATTTCAAGTCTGCATGATCAGTATTTACAAAGTCAACAAAGCCCGATATGTTTTGGCCAGTCCAAAACACAGCGTCCTTGTTGTCAGGAAAGCGACATTTGATATTCCATTCGGATTCACTGCTACTTGCACTTAATAGTACCACTGTAACAAGCAAATATTGATAGATAGCACTCTGAAATGAATAGACCAAATTGGAAGACAAGCAAGGTAGCCAATAGGCACTCTTCGTTGATCATCACTACCGCACACTTGAAGAAAATTTGAAAAATGAGGTGACTCTTCCCAAAAGATCAATATGTAGATATGGAAAAGTTTGGCAATGTTTACAATAGTAAAAGTATGAATTCGTTGCCAACATACATTTTTATCAAATTGCATGTAAAATAATATACCTTGAAGATCAGAAAAGAACGAGTAATAGCAAAAGCTTTCATTATTTTGATATATTTTGTTTTGTTTTGTTTAGTATGGTTGTCCTTGATGAGGAATATCAGTTGTCGAAGATAGCAATCAAGAGTCGTACAGCAGTCACTTTATTGTTTTCACAAACAGGCCAAAGACTGATTCCTTCTCTAGTCTCGATACCTGTGCACGAAAGGAGAAATTGAAAAATGCTGAATTCGTTCTCTGAACCAATTGAAATGGCGACATGAACAAGAGTGAGTGTTCAAAATGAGAGAAATGTGAATTGATTAGCGACTGGGATTTCGCTACAATTACACTAAAGATAATATGCTGCGAAGACTAGAAAAAAAGGGAGCTAGCAACAACTTTTCCAATTTGTAATAAATATCTTTTTTGACAACTGTTGACTGCCATATCATGGCCTTTATACTTTGGTGCATTACACTACCCGTTGATCACTTGCAAACATGAAAAAGAAAGCAAATTTAACTAAAATGAAATAGTTTTCAGAGTACGGGTGGAGATTTTGTACAAAAAAATAAGCATGTGTTTTCTTTACCAGTTTTTTTGTAATCTCGATTCAAAATAAAACATTTATTATGACTCACATCATGTTTGACAGATTTCAGTTTTGTATT